AGTGAGACTGCAATCGATACCAGAGCATACCTCTTCGCTCCTGGAAATAACTTCTTAGCTCTACTAAAAGGAATTCACACGGTTCACTGCACCGGAAAAGTTAGCGGGTCAGTAATGTAAATGAACTTTACAGGAATAATTCATTATTATTTCTCTCTATCTTTGCTATGGCTCTTTTAAATTCAATGGTGTAGAATGAATTTCTAAAGCAAAATTAGAACTAGAGCAGTGCATCGAGTATCATGAGTCAAGCGCAAATTATCCTGGAAGTGTTATTACACTGTTTATTTATAAATTTGATGAAGATTATATCTCAGAGGGATATTAACACCCGAGTGGCCTTACGAAGAAATTTTGAGCCAAGTAAGAAACTTCTAGACCGGTAGGCGCCAAAGATCTCTTTTTTTTTTCCCCCTTTCTGAGCTAAATTCATCACAGTAGGATGAATGTTAAATGCAAATTTGAAAATAGGTCAACGCACTGAGTAGAGAGTTAAAACAAAATATCTTGGATGTGTCACAACAAAATTCGTTCATCACCGTCATGAAAACTATCTCCCATTGAGAAATGATAACGATGTATGCCTCTTCGCTTCGAAAAAAAAATATTTCTATGATTTAAGTAAAGGAAAACACACGGTTCTTTGAACGGATCAGATACCGGATCAGTTAATGTAAATACAATTAACTGTACATAATAATTTGGATCATTTATGTCTCTTTGCTAAAACTCATTTAAATTGAACGGCGTAGGATGACTGTTAAATAAAAATTAAAAATTGAAGAGTGTATTATGTAGCATGCGTCTGGGGCGGTATTATTTATTATGTTTACCTCGACAACATGACTGCCTTGAGTAAAATTACTATGACACATAAATGAATTTTCAGCTGTTGTTTTCTCGTGTCGTTGCAGAAGATCGAGTTCCTCTCCTTCGATACACCACATTCTTTCACGATCAAACGTTTCATCCCGTAAACCATTTAGTTACAAATAAACTTTGTTTGAGGCATTGGCAGAGAACGAAATCCTACAAATAAGTCCAAATTTGCAAAAAGTTTCCAAGGCAGAAGGCATCCGTCCTAATCATAACAGGAAACTTGCTTACTTTTAAAATAACGTTTGTGAGAAAATTACGCACTTCTGATCGGCTTAAAACGGGTTATACAGGCAAGAAATATGTCTAAAAAGCCTTACCATTTAGTCATAAAAAAAAATACATGAACACCTCTCACGTTTTTTAAATAAACGGACATTTCATTTGTTGTGACACGAATGGTTCCATAAACACCTTCAAAAAAAATTACCATGATATTTACATAAATTGTCACAAGCCCGTTTTCTCGCAGGAGAAACCTCACTAGGGTATCTCAACTGATCAAGAAGTAATGTGGGTGTATGCCCTCATATATTCGGCAAACAAATAACGAATATCACCAGGGAAATATTCAGTGAAGTAATGCATTTACACCAAGCGCGTGAGAGCTGTGATACTTTCCGAAAATCAAATACTTAATGAAGATTATATCTCAGAGGGATAATAACACCCGAGTGGCCTTACGAAGAAATTTTGAGCCAAGTAAGGAACTTCTAGACGCTTAGGCGCCAAAGATCTCTTTTTTTTCCCCTTTCTGAGCTAAATTCATCACAGTAGGATGAATGTTTAATGCAAATTTAATTAATTCATTTAACAGTTTAGTAGCATGTGTCTAGAGCTAGTTATGCTGAAGTTTTACATGAAGTGTGAAGATCATCTCTCATTGAGAAAGGATAACTTCCTATACTGGTAGTGTAGAGACACACAAGAAATTTGTTAAAACCTTAACAAGCGTAAAACTGTGCAATTCTTGCCTTTTCAACAGGAAAATACATGAACAGCTGTTACTTTCTTTGATGAACAGCCGTTTTAATTGACGGTATTAGTTGAACCTAAAATGTGTTGTCTACCTGGACCACGTGACTTCTTGGATATAATTATTACGAAAGACAAATAACTTGTCGGCCGTTGTTGCTTGGTGTCGTTGCAAAAGGTTGATTTTCTCTCCTTTGAAACAACGCATTTCATTCCGAAAAAAAATTGTTTACTGTTATTCGTTTAGTCATAAGTTTAAAATGATTGACTCGTCGGCAGTGAATAAAACCATGGAGAATG